GGGGACAGTGTGGGGGCCCCCAATGTGAACATCGTTACCGAATGAAAAAAATTGATTGGTTGAGAGATTATGGCAAGCTTTTCAAGAAGCGGCCTTTGTGGCGAGGCCTCCCATAATGTCCTTTATGGCAATGGCAATCAATACACACAACTGGTGTGTTTAAATTACCCCCATTGCCTTCCAGCTTAATACTGCTTAATACAGCAACTGAGGATTCTTTAAGCCTGGTTCATTATCTCATGTATGGGGGCGTTGAATTGAAGGAGACCGCGATGGGATTTTCTCCCTCAATGCCTTGGTTAAAAAAAAATTCGCTTGCAAAAGGATCGTTCACTGGTCATTGCAAGACTTAAACTGGGGCTAGGAAAAACAGCAAAGGAAAGATTACTTAACACATTAGGGACTCCATTCACACAGAGATAATGACGAGCTAGAACCACCCACAAGTCTCATAAAAATTCCACCACGCAGATAGTTTTGTTGAAATAATTGAAGTAAATGTTGGTCTCTTATAAAGGGAGGGCCTCAAATTACAGAAAACAGTTTGGCTACATAGATCTATCCACACAAGGGGCCAATTGCATGGCTCAGCTAACCACGAAACTCCACTTTACTGGCAGAAAAATTCCGTGCTAATCCTGAAAGCATAGAATCCTTTGTTTTATGTGTCATAAAAGTCCTTGTAACCCATGAAATATGCTTGAAGTAAGCATAGATTTCCCTGCTACAGTGAGCGGGTATTTTTTTTGCCAACAGTAATTAAACAGAGCCTAAATTGGGCCTGGATCTGACATCAAGTTAGACAGTGAAACACACAAAAATGACACTGAGTGTCAAAAGTAATTGAGAGAGCAGATGATGCTTTAACCCATCAGTTGTACTACCCTGAACCAACCTTCCTGTGCTAGTGTTACTAATACTCCCTATACTTCCCAAAACTGCTTTGAATTGCTTTATCAGTAAATAACTGCAATGTAGTACAGTGTAACACAATGTATATAAATTTTAATACAGTGTAACACAATGTATGTAAATTGTAATACTGTGTAATACTTTTAACAAGATTCACAAATGTAGTACAAAAATGGTGTTTCTTTCTATAAGCCAGTTAACCCATCACTACTCCATTCTGCTGTATGATAGAAAGCAGCAACAGCACCATCTCTTCAACCCAATGGCCTAAAAAATGATCCAATCCTGTCATCTTGTGCCACCATGATGCAACAGCTGGGAAATAATTAGGAAGCAGCCGAGCCATCCCAAGCGGCCCCAGGGGCAGCAATAACCACAAGCCATACCTTATTATTGACTTCCCATAGTATGACCATTACATAACCACCAAAGAAGACAATTGATTGGCAGTAATAAGAACCTCATGTCTCTTTTTTCCCCTGACCACAAAGATGTCATTTTTCCCTCTTGTCTCTCACTCTCACCGTTTCCTGTCCAGCACTTCCTATTACATTGATCCCCTGGTGATTCAGGAACTACCATCTTTTTGTCTCTCTCTTTCTGTTTCCTTTTACCGGTCGTCCGCCAAAATATTAAATTTGAACTTTTATCTTTCACTGGTGTCAAAGGGACAAAATGTTGTATTCATTTTTAGATGTCGTGAGCTGCACTTTCCAACTGGTGCTGTCCAGAAGGTTAAATCATTTCCTCTGTTGAAACATGCTTGAAAGTACAATACCCTGACTTTTTCTTTGTTGTCCACTTGCCAACCACATTTTAATGTGTACATTTGGATCATTTCCAAAATAAACACCTTGATTTCTGGCCATCAAAACTGCCAGATATTTTTCATCTGTGTATATAAATTCAAGTTTCACCCCAAAACAACCAAAGTCAACTGTTGAAAAGTGGCTGATAAGTGCTGTGTTTAAAGTCATAAAGTTAAAATGCATCCCTCAGAACTGAAACATCTCAACACTGTTCTTCACATGATCTCTGGCTTCACATAGAAGCAGAGCTGGTTACATTTCTCCAGGAATATGACCATTTCATTGATCAGTCAACAGGGATACAGTATATGAAAGCTCATATTGACACATTCAGGTGGAAAGGCCATCAGTGTTACAATAAAGATTGGACACAGAGATAACCACCTGTTGTCTGTCCATGTGTGGTCACAACATTCTCTCCATCCATATCCATCCCAGCTGGCCAAGCAAGTCTCTTTTTAGCTGGGGGGGGGGGGGGAGCAGCATCTCTTATGCTTCAAGGATAAATCTATTCTTCATGGTATGATTGAGCAAATCAAACTAACTTGTATCAGATGTTTTGAAGATGGCCCTGGCCATATTTCCTCCTCCTCCTTCAGTGTCATATTTCCAGCAGGCCCCCTCTGATGCAATGATGTAACAGGTATGGCATGCAACCCAAGAGGGGGGCTGGGAGATAAGATTCCTCAGAAATGAGCAGTGAATCATTATTGACTGTCAATGGGGTGAGGAAATAATAACAATAAATGCTGCCCCACTGAGATTCCGGTAGCATACAAATGTGAGTGGGGGACCATTATGGGATTTGAAGAAGTTGGATAAGTCTTGTCTGTGATCACAGTACAGGCATTTTCAGGCATGGGATATTTTAGACTTTTGTCTGAAGTCAGATTTTTTTTTAATCTGAGAGAAAGACATCAGTTTAGTAGAAAGAAGTGCATCTTTCAGACCTTTCATTCAATTTCAGATTTTTTTGTAAATTGACAATCTCATCCCTGCATTTTAAGAATTAATATACTAAATTTGCTTTTGCTGTAGCCGATTGCAAACAAAATATGGACTAACTACATTTTGTACACTGGGGGCAGTATTTGAAAAAAGTAAGGTTTTTTTTCCAACGATGGTTGGCCAACCATCAATTGGAAATTGATGCAAACATTCCACTTGTCTTGAAAATGACAGCACACCAGCAACCATGATTTAACAAGATGCTTGAGACTATTCTTATTTACTTACGTTCAAGTAAGGCATTTCATAACAGTTTGGTAGTTTTGTTTTTTGATGTTTGCAATTGCTGTATATTACCTTTAAGTGAGTTTGTGTCAATTTCTTGTATTCAATAAGATGCATGTCACTCTTCACCATTCCAAACCAAAGTTCCGATAACGTTTTGCAGAGTAGCAAGTTGCTTCTCACTTTCTCACTTGATAACGCACAGAATCTACCCGCCCATGCCAGGTTTTCCTTATGATTTACATGTTATAATAGGGACGATGGAAAATCTGAAATTGTATTGAAAAGGGGAGTTACCCGCTTGGGTGACGAAAGTTAAAGAACCCGCAAACATTGCAGAGCACTGCCCTCAACTCTTTCTCTTCTCTGTGGAAATGTTTTCTTCCCGTCAACAAAGGCCAAGGAATGTTTTGCTTTATTATGAAACCCTGCTTAACAAACGCCAGTGTTGTTGTCACGGGATGTGATTTGAAGAGAAAGAAGAAAAAAATCTTCTCAATTGATAAAGGTTATTGAGTGCAAAGCACTGGTAATACTCCCGGCTCAAGATGCAGTCATGCTTGTTAAGTTATAACATGTATACTCGGCTTTAGGTCCTGCCCACTTGTATAGTTGTGAAAAAAAAAAATCCCCAGAATCTTTATTGTGCACAGTGTTTTTTTCTTTGGTGGGGTAGGGGGTAGTGGGATTGATGATGGAGGTGTGGCATGCATGATTGAGATTTCCACGGTAAGGAAAGGATGGTGGGAAGATCATTACACATTAGCTGCAGTACAATCAACAACAAATTTTTTTGAGAATTTATATCCCACTAATGCACAGGTCTTTATTAACGGAATGCAGTGCCTTGCCGTGGCGCTTGTACACATTTCTTTATCATCCATGAATCTGAGTCCTAGTTTGCATTCAAGTTCCTAATGGCTTGTGTTCAATTAGTATCATCTGAATATAGGGTCACATTAGGGTTCTATTTTCTTGAGTTGAACTTTCTCCAATCAAATTTGAAAAAATAATAAGAAGAATTAAGAGTTTATACAATTAACAGTAAACACGGCTTCTCTGTTTTGAAAAAACATATTTTGATTGAGGCTAGGCTTCCAAACTGTCTCCCCAAAACAAAACTGCCATCATTTGTTCATTTCTTTTTAGTTTTGTTATCTCCATGCATTCTTCTCAATATTGGACAAACAAAGTTCCAATTGTTATGTGGACTTGTTATTGTTATAAGTGATGCGACCTTCTGAACTTCCTTGTTCATAATTACCACATTACCCTAGAGGGCGGTTGTGGTATATAATTGTATAGGATCCAGTATTGTATACATATCCCTCTATCTGCCCTTGTCCTATTTTCATAACTCTGTTCAAGCGTGCCACTCTGGTGAATACTGAATACTTTCACTTCCGAAATAACTGGGGTTCCCAGGGAGGAAATCAAGGACACTGTTGGCTCTACACGCAGGTATCTACTCCTCTGCTGTGGCTACCGGTGCCTCTGTGTTTCCCTGTTTCCCTTCCGTGTGAAAAAAAAAGTGTAAAAGGCCCGGGTTTGTTTTTTATTTTGACAACCTGTAGTAGATCATTTGGTGCTACGTACTGCATGGTATATAACGAGAGCGTCCATCAGTTTGCACTCGGACCTTGTCCTGTTTTGGCCGTCATTGGCAATGTCGCACTGAAGGCCTAAGGTCTACCTCGATACAGTCTCTGACTTTGAACTTGAGCAAGTGTCTGCGTGAGGACAGATGTGCCTCTCTAAAGACCCTGCAGTGTAACATCTCCAGTCCTTCCTGGCATCTGTGTGGTCCTAATGAGTCCCCCAGGATTCGCAGGAGCTGTTCTCCTATTCCAGTTCTGAAACCCAAGTAGGACCATAGTTTAAGGACTACTTCTCATGGCTTTGGAAAGTACCCTGTTAATAGGCAACACTGTCCCTATGTGATGACTTAAACTGTAGTCTTCTAGTGGCTGAGTTTCTATTAAGCTACATACATGTACATACTTTGACTGGAACAAGTTGGAAGCAACTCTTACCTACAGATTAAAAATGGCCAAGGAGGAATATTTATCAGGTAGGTACAAAATAAAAAAATACTGTGAAAACATGAATGTTTAAGAGGGGGGTTGAATTCAAGCTGATGATGTGAAATTAAATGCTACCTATAGAGGTATATTTTTTTCAAAATAGGATGCATATAATGTTAAAATGTTCACGCCTTAATTTTTAGTGACTTTACTCAGAGAAAATGTATTGTACATCGGTTTGGTCCAGGTACTACAAACTTTAATTATATAAGAAAAAATAGTACAGATTCCTTTTCCGTGGTCTGTATGAACCTGGCTTGAAACAAGCAAGCTATCAAGAGCCTGAGGTTGGTTGGAGTTTTTTAAATGGAGGATATTACTAAGGGAATGTGCTCAGATTTATAAGGTCTTGTCAACTCTGAGTAATCGGGGGTGGTTCAGAAGCTAATAATGTAAAACAGCATATTTAGAAGAGACTTTACTGATATATTTTTTATTTATTTCTAGAAACTAAGGATTCCTAAACAAACAAAAATACATTGCATTTGGGAACGATTGATGAGAAACCTCAAGTAACCTTAAGATAGATAGATAAAAGATAGATGAAACTTTAGTGAAATCCCAAACTGGAAATGACATGTTGTCGTCTCTCTCTCTTTATAGTTCAGGAAGAGAAGACAATAAAGAACTGTTTTACAGTTTGGAGGAAAAATGCAGGAATGACATTCTTGTGGAAAAACCCATAGAATCAGTCAGCATGGACGTGTCAACTTGGTAGGGGTTTGAACCCAGTTACAGCGACAGAAGGGGATCAAAATACAACTCTGCTAACCTGAATTCAGTCAATGTTATGTGTGCTCATTGCATTACTGCTTGTATTTTGAAAAATTTCAAACCCTGTTGCCATTAACATGGAGATGTGTGACCACCCTTGTAAGCTGTAGTTTTGGGTTGGTAATCGTATGTAATTTTTTGTCGAACAATTTTGGGGTGTCGGGTTGGCGCAGTGGCTCTTTCCTCTTTCCACCTCCATGGTCCGTGTACAATTTCTACCCTGGTCCTCATGTGAGTTTTGTTTTCAGTCCCTACCTGATTCCGTGGGTTTTACCCAGAATAATGTTCTGGGGTTTTCCTCCCACCTGAAATGAACAACTGTAATTTCTTCATTTTCTCCTCTCTAAAGGTTTCATCAGACTTCCGAGCTACAGTGCCTAGGGCACCTTTAAGGAATCCTTGCTTTCATTACCAGAAATAAATAAAAACAATAATATATGACAATGCGGCCTTAAGAGGTGGCATGGATTCATGACAGTCCCATTTAATCCTGTATCAATTAGGTTTTCAAGTTTTCATTTTATTTCGGGATGGGAATATTTGTAGGCACTATCCCACCTTTTTTTCCTGCGGTGAAATATCCTGCTGAAATTTACTATGCAAACATCTCCGTGTTATTTTTGTGCAGGTACTACATTTTGCACATTGTGTGCACAGGTGAGGGTCACTTCCTTCTATTTTTATGGTCACTTCCCCCCTTGGGAAATCACACTGTTTTGATAGGCGCATTTACAGTTGTACATTAATGTTTTTTTGAGGAGTCATTATAGATTTATACAGTGTCTGTGTTTCCATCTTGACCAAAAAATGTGATGAACTGCAAGCATGAGAATGATTCCCTATTTGTAAGTCATGTTCAAAAAGACCGTGGAAAAGTATCATTAACCCTAACTCCCTAGGCATTTTTGCTAGGATGTAACCTCAATCCTGCAAAATCTTCCAATTGCCTCCATGTAAAAAATACAATCCTGCAAAATCCTCCAGCAATCACAGTCAATGCGTTAATTGAGGCAGAGTCAGTGACATCCTGGAGCATTGCGTATGATTTCAAGTATAATCCTGCCCTAAATTTTGCACAGCTGAGCATTTAACAACACAAGGTCCGTCCCAAGACTTGACACAGTGCATCCCTCAAAATCAGCAGCACATTTTTGCCGTATTACCTCAATCCTGCAATTTTGCAAAGAGGATTTGGAAAGGTTAAAATTAAAGTATGATATAAATTAGTATGGATTTTTGCTCTGTGAAAAAAATATTCGGTGTTTTTTGTGTGTAGGTGGCAGACTGGAAATGAAGATAAAAATCGGTAGTATATGTTCCCACAGACTACATTTAAAACATATTCATCACAGAATATTTCAAATAACATAACACCCACGCCATGCAGTTTCCAGAGAAAAAAATACTCTGCCTACTTACAGAAATGCTAAGTACCCCATTTCCCTACCTCCATCTCAAATATTGTTTTAATCTGAGCTATTAAGGTCTGCTGAGTGAAGTGTTACACGGCAAGCAAGAGAGAGACAGAGAGAAAAAAAATGACAGGCTTGGGTATTACATTCCCTTGTTGAACTATCGTCTAAATACATGACTCCAGGCGCAGGCAGCGACTCCGTCAAGTGTGTATTCTAAAAACATTTTCAGAAATCGGGACAGCGTTCTTGAAGTTTGCAACTGTTATTTCTAAACTAGCCAGGAGAAGTAGGCCAGGGGGATTCGGTGGAGAGGTTCTGCGCTCCAAATACGGCTTATGCCATATTTTCTGCCCGCGGTCGGACACGGCGAATAAACTGCTCGGCTCAAAAGAAACGACCGGGGAAACAAAGCCAGAGGGCGGCTTTTCATTTTATAAGCCGGCGATATTTTTCTAAACCTTGGCAGATCCTGATTTCATGCTTAGGTGGGATCTGCGCCCGGGGCGGTCCTGGACGGTTTTTGTCCCCTGCACTGTCAATCATCTTCAAGAATAGGTCAAAGCCCCCGGGACATTTTTAAATTGTATGCCTGTTACTATTTGACTGGGCTGTAATTATTCGCCCCTTTGCCATTCAATGTCACAGTGTTATCCACCATCTCCAGCTTGCTGTATCCACCTCCAAGTTATGATCTAATTTTACTCAAAAAAATATTTGCTTTTTTGTTCCCAAAATCTGGGTTAAAGTATTCCAGAGTTACTAATACACGCATGTGTCCTGCGTTGATTAACATTTTCCACATCGCAGTGAAATGTCAGAATTCATACCGTTCACATTTCCCTCTCCAGGTTTGCGTTCCGATTAATGACTAAAAAAAACCCAGCTATTTTTTGCCCGAGAATCATTTTTCAAATCGGATCCAATCCAGTTTCCTATTCCCTAATGTTCCCTTTTTTTCCTTCTTTACGGGAGAGTTATTTTTTCCTTGCCTGCCATGAAGGTCTAAATAAGTATGGCAAAAGGTTTTGATTTTGTGGGCCAAATATTTGATGGATTTATTGCTCCTTTCTTCCTAATTGTGTAAACCCTGCTTTTCCCCTTGGCCAGTTGTTGCCTTGCCCGTTGAGCGACCCCCTCCTCTTTGCAGGGAGTAGGTCCTTCGTCAGTGAGGGGGGACTTTCCCGGGGGAAAGGTTGCCCAGTTCAACTTCACACTTAGGCACTTCCTAGGCGGAAATTGATTTACACTTTACAGTCCAGAGTTTCCCCTCCCCGTGTTGGGGCTTCTCATGCTACTCCTTTATCCTATCACGGCCTTCCATGCCCCAGCCTTTTGCTTGGCCTGCCCCACATAGCACGGGCTGTTTTGTCTGTGTCTGCCCCTGCTCGCTGGGCAGTGCTATTCTCAGTCTGTGGCATGCTCTGCTCCGTTGGATTTTTTTGTCTAATCATGCCTTGTCTTTCTGTCCTTTTCTGTCTACTTTTACTAGTATTTTTATTGCCCTATGTTTTTTTTTCTTTTTCTAGACTCCCCACAGACTCTAGTGGATCTACATGTCTGACACTTCTTCTCTGTACCATGATAATCGACAATCGGCCCAAAGTGGGCAAATTTTTCTGTCCTTGATTTTCAGTCTGCTCTAAATTCTCCACTGGTCTTCCTCAGGGCTCAGAATAGAAAGTACAAGTTGGGTTACCTTTAATGATTTAAGCACATGCCATATCAACATGTCTGTGTCAATTTACCCTCATGTATTACATCAGTTTATGTTGTACAATATTGTGTTCATCTACAACTTGAAAGTGCCATTCCATTTTGAATGTTCAAAAAGAGATTTTAAATGTTAACTTGCTTTCCATTTTCGTTCTTTCACTGCACTTCAATCTGGCTGGTCCCCATGTCACCTTAAGCCTCCAGTCCCGGCAGGAAAAAAAAAGTTACTTCAAAGAGTTGAGGGACCTCAGTTCATTTAGCATGGTGGCATTAGTTTTCTCTACCTGAGAAGTTTCTAGAAGAAGAAAACAAAATTGGTAATTATTTCCTGAGGCTGAGAGGTCCACCCTATTTACCAGTGCTTTACCTTATACTGCCCCCCCCCTCCCTCCCTCCCCTGGCCATTGCTGTCTCTAGAACTCCCATAATGCCCCCTCAATCATCGGCCGCTACCGGATCATAAATATTTTTGCTGTGGCGCTTTTTGCCTTAACTTTCAGGGATTTGGCTCGGGTTACCGGCACATTAGAAGGTGACACTCCCGTGGCCTTTTGTAAAATGGTCTCAAAGCCGAGGCGTAGGGGTTTCGCCGATTTCACTCGCACTTGTCAGAAGTTTTGCACTTGTAAAATGTGACTTTTCCGTTTGCACTTTTTGGCTGGAGGTTGGCCGAAAAAATTGGGGGGGGGGGTGAGGGAGAGGAGTTAACAGAAGTAAATGATAAAGCTTCATTCAAATTAATGGTTGGAATTACGTGTTTGAGCCAATTACCAATCTGTTTAGGTCCATGAAACAGAAAGTTCATGTAATGTAGCACAACAGATTTCTTTCCTTTTTTGGCTTGGATCTCATAAAAAGGATGTGCTGTGAAGGGTGCAATTACAGTAGGACATCAGAACTGTTATTAGAAAATTACCATTTTTCAAAATATGTGTTCTCACTAAAAACATTTTATGTAACTTGCAATTGCGGCGTGATTGCCCAAAATTGAAACTTGTGCTCGTTTCATGTTGTCTTAGCAGTTTGAGTTTTTACCATTTGGTTTTCCCATTACCCGATGTTATCATTTTACCAAGCAAATGTAT